TGCACCATCATTGGAGAAACCGCATCTCTATTTTTATAATCTGCTCTCGGAAGTCTGTACTCCGTGTTTCCAGGAAGGAGACTCATCCTATGATGCCCTTTCCAGTAAGGTTGCAATTACAGAGCTGCCAGCAAGAATTTGAAGGGTGTGGGTGGGTTTTTTTTTGTTCCATATGAACTAATGGTGATGTCAGGCTGAAAGCTTTCATCCGGGAGACGGGTCTGCCGTGGCCCCACACTGGTATGGCTTGAGGTGCTGCAGTATGGGCTGGCTTAGCTTAAATCAACCTGGTCTGCAACAAGACCCATTTGAATGTCTTCTGCTGAGCATGCGAGAAAAAAGGCTACTTGTTTTAATCAAAAGATTTAAACCTAGAACTAACAGAAAATAATGCTCCAACCCTGCCGGGGCCTCCTCAGTAGCTTTTGGTACTTAAAAGGTCTGATTGCTCTTCAAAGGATTATTCAGAAATACTAACGTGTGGGTGATGTATGCCACGGAAACTGGAAGCGCAGATAAACCAGCTTTACGTTTCCCTCCCCCACCATCCACACCTCTACCACAACGCACGCGTATACAAGCTGCTTAATAAAACCAAAGGGTATTCCTCGGTAAAGCGGTTTTCTGCAATTGCTTTGTGTTAAACGTTTTCACTTCTCTCTTCCTGTGCGTGCTGCCGGAGCAGCGATATACGCTCAGCAGAGCCTACCCAGAGACGTAGGGTGGATGGAGAAGGTCTTTTGGGCTCAGTGAGTGGAGCTTTGGGACAGTGTGTGAACCTGCAGCCTGTTCATCTGGTCTTCTTGATACCTATGAGGTTGTGGAGCATGTTGAGAAAATCCAGGACAGCCAGAGGAGACTTCTTACTTACGGGTCGGAAGCTGGTTTTGGGGTAAGGTAAGGCCAGTCGGACCCATGGATGGCTGTTGAAACAGAAATGTTTCAAAAGAAGATCAGGCCCATTCACGTGGTTTCTGTGACACCTGCAGCCAGAGCCAGCACGTCTCACTGCATGTGTCCTGCAGGGTCCTGTCGTCCTAAACCATGACGATGGCCCTCCAAATAACCCCACCTCCTATTTTGAGAGGATAGAAGGGTTGCGTGCAAGTGTTGCAAACCGAAGGAGGAAGGACAGGAGTTGTGTGTGTGTGCTGAGAGAGGACAGCAACACCTACCCACAGCTCTCAAGGCAGAGAAGACTCACGCTAAATTGCGGCGCTAAAGGTGCGCCTAAATTCATCCCCAATACTGGAGGAGATCCTTTCTAGGCAACTCAACTCCCTGGTGCTGGCGGAGCTGGGGACCTTCTGGAGCTCATGGCGTCTCTCCTCAGGGCACGTCCCTCTCTCTTCCTGAGCGTTTCTGCCTCCCCGCGGAGAGGACCAGCAACGCGTTCGACAAAGCTGTTGGCCAACAAGTGCAGTCTATTGTTAGTATCGCCACGGCCTCCTCGGTAACATCAGGTTCAGAGGGCAAATCGCTCAAAGCAGCTGGGACATGACTGCTGGCTTGTGAGGAATGGTGTAATTACATCTCCCTCTGCGGGGAGGTGAATAGAGAGGCCTTTGGAGGCACTGGACTGGGGGGGTGGAGGGAGAGGGCTGCCTCAGGTTACTTCAGGTCAGGATACTGTCAAAATCCATCAAAGGCATTCCCAGGAGAGCCGGCAGCCGACGTGCACAATGCAGGCTTTATGCCACCGGCGGTGGAGTTGAGTTATAGGCATCTGGGCTTTAGAGGGCTTCAATAAAACGTCGCTTTTCTCTCTTCTTTTTTTTTTTTTTTCCCCCTTCCCCTGCTGCTGTATGAATTAAGGCTCTTTGGCTTATCGAGTTTAAAGGAATTAGAGCAGCTGACGTTGATATTGTTGTTGTTGCAAGTTCATAGACTTGCTTTTGGATGCGAGAACCTGGGCAGCCCTCGAGACATCCCCAGGGAGTCGGGCATCCGGCAAACACAGCGTCTTGTTCAGTAACCGGGCCCGTTTCCCCCGAAAACGAACATCCTCACCTGCGGTGCATGAGTGAAGTGCTTTATTTGGTTTTCTTTTTTTAGTTATAAGGATGCTTCCCATTTTAGCCTGAGGTGTGTGTTGTCGTTTTGACCTACTGGTGGAGGAAAACACCTGCCGCCCGATCCCGGAGTGAGCGAGTGCTGAACTGCAGCTAAAATCACTAACTTGCGCCATAAACACACAGATTCCTTAATGGCTGTGATTCAGAAGAAAGTGTAGGCACTGCCTCCTCCTAAGGATTTTGTTTCTCTTATAAGACTATAGGAATGAAGCTTTGGTTGTAGCGAGTGAATGTTATTTGCTTTTTAATGGTCCGTTTACCTCGGCAGTAATCCTTCACGACTCGCTTTCCATCTGTGCTTGCATACCTTGTTTTTGCCACTTGCAAGATATATTTGATACTCTGTGAATGCAGATGTGGGAGTTGTTCCACAGAAGAGGATTTCTGTTCTTCATGTGTCTGGTATTGCAGCGATGGGTGGTGGTAAATGGTTGTTAAATAAGCTTGCATGCCACCAAACTGCTGTGAGTCAGCATGGATCTGAAGTAGGTTTTAAGTAATGATCTAGTGTGAGCAATGCTGAGCACTTTTAATTTCCTTTTGCATTTAAAAAGGATGCAGGGTTTTGCCTAGAGTCCACAATTAAAATGATTTGGTTCCGTGTATACGTGGAGATTTGTTCATTTGATTTATTATAGTGTCAGTCTATTTAAATGGCAGGAACCACTTTTAAAGTATTTTGTTTTTCATCTTTAATGCTGTTGCTTGTGTTGCACTCCTTTTGAGAACAAAAATGGCTTAGTCATTTTGGCTTTTTCAATTTTCTGATGGGGTTGGACCAACTACAGAGATGTCTGGTCTAAACCAAGACTGTTTTCACTCAGACTTAAAAAAGCCGAGATGCCTTTTTATTATTAGATCTTTGCAGAACAAAATATCTGAAATCCAGTGTCTGAAATCCGACTGTGGATTTTGAGAATGTCCATCAGCTGTGCTTTGTTTCAGAGCTTCTGTCCATGTGAAAACGCTGTAGGATTCGCGCAGGTTTGCAGGTTCCCTCCGTGGGGTTGGTCTGACTCAGGTCCTGGTTTGGGCAGAGGGAGGCTGGGGAAGAGGGGCATTTGCCCTGGGTTAATTTGGTAGGTGCCATGAATGAAACAACTCCGCGTAGGATGTTATGTGACTAATATAATTTTCTCTGTCAGATGAAACTTGGATGTTTGGTCTAGCCACTAATCAAAATCTCTGGAGTCTAAAAATTAAAATATCTTTAGACTGAATTTATTATAGTACTCCAGTTATGTTCAGGCTTTGGCTGGCTCTGTATTTCTCATGATATTAAACAGTTTCCAAACTTTTCCGAAAAAGAAAGCTGAAATGGTATGTGGGGGAAAGAAGGGTAGTGGAGGCTGACTTGTTTCTAAAAGCCCTGGAGGCATTCAGACTCGACTAAATAGAAGTGCCTGATTGATCCATATGCTTTAACAAAACTATTTTGCCTATTCCTTGTCTCTTCTTTTGAAGCTTTTTGCAGCTTCTTGAATTATTCCTTCAAATATCCCTGCCCAGAAATGTGCAGGGATTTTACATTCTCTTTAATCCTATTAAACAGCGTGTTACACTGTGTATTAATCATCTGACTGGAGCAAATCTGGTGGATTTGGTTCAATAATCCTTCTTTCTGGATCACTGCCTTTCTGGGACCTTGGAAAAAATAAGAGATTTGCCGATTCTTGCGTTAAAGAATGGCTTGTGCCGTCTAACAGAGGGAGGCTAATAGCCGAGCGTCGTAGGCACCAGCTACGCGTTGGTTAGACTAGTTTAAATCTACTTCTTCGCGCAATGTGTAGACTTCTCCGGGAAGCGGGCAAGGGTATGAGGAAGGGTGTGACTATTTGGGAATCTGGTAACTAAGAGTTTTCAGATGTTGAGGTTCAAAACCTAAATTTTTTGGGTGTGGGGAGAGGTGGGGTAGCATCAGCTTGGGGTTTGATGGTGGGCCGTGTGATGAAATAAGCTGCAGCTCCAATGCTTCGCCTCGTCTCCAGCGTGAGCCCTGCTTCGCTGTAGCCTCTGCCTGTGCTAATCCGGGCGGAGCAGCACGTTTGATGGGTTTTCATTTTTCTGACCGATGTGTAAGTGCGGCTTCAAGATGACATCAAGTGAAAGACGTGGGCTCCGATCCTTGGGCTGCCAGTGGACAGACTTAATTAGCATCGCTGGGCAGGGCAGACCTGATAGTAGGCAAATTCCTGAACTCAACAGGGCATTATAGAAACATCTGTACTGCAACTACAGTACCTTCTCCTCAGAAATAGCTGGCTGAGTACAAAGAGGAGCCACATTCTTGCATTGATTAGATTAGTGCAGATATCCAAATGTTTCCAGCAGCACAGGAAATGGTCTTTGTGCTGCTTGAGCTCTAACAGATACGGGCTCGAGTTTCCGCTTTGCCTCGTCGCCCTCAAACACATGCGCTGGGTTTTTTTTTCCTCCCCTCTTTGCCTCCCCCGCTCTGTAACCTCCTGGATCTTTGATGTGGTGGTAGACTAAATGGCTTTTCAAATAGCCCAGCAACACTTGATAGAAATTGTAAGAAAGAAGCTTTGCCATCAGAGTTTAAAAGGCACATGATCTTCAAAGCCTTTTCCAGAGCTTTGAATTTACAGCAGAGCACGCTGCAAATGCACCCAGTATCAAAACATATTTTGCATAAGCGCAGCGAGCGTGTGGGGTGTTTGCTAGATAATATATCCCAGCAGGAGCGTTAAAGAGATCCATATTCCTACTTAAGTACAAAAATCTCCTGGGGGCTAGGGTTAGCCTCCATTTCTTGTAGAGTTTTTGATGCCTGACAGGTCTTTGGACCACTTGTCCCCTTATCGTGAGCGTGTGTGTGTGTGTCCCATTTTTGGTTAATTTAAATACTGGTTTATTTATTTACTATCATCTAGTCCTTTGCTAATTCTGGCCCTTTCTCTCCAGCTCCCTGCCGACCATGCAGTGACACAGAGGTCCTCTTGGCTGTCTGCACTAGTGATTTTGGTGAGTTGTTGCTTCCCTTCTGCCCCGGGTGGCTCACTTGAATGCGACATCCATAAACACCGATGGACACCTACTTACACTTGGCAACTTCCACCGGCAGTAAATGCGGTCTAAAGGGGCTGTGTGCATGGGAGAGGGGGGAGGACGTGGTGTGAAGGACCTCAAAACCCTGTGCCCAGCTGGCACTTCCCCAGGGTGGACAGAGAATGACCCAGCAACCACAATGGAAGTAGAAGTTCAAAGCCTTGGGTGCATCTAGGAGAGGCCTTTACTTGCTGCCCTAAAATGGACTGTTGACGAAAGACCAAAAGTTTCAATAATTCTCCGTGCTTCCCTTTTTAAAGGGGAAATTAGTGTTAGCTGGTATCCGTAATGGCTGAAGAACAGGAATTACGTTGTCAGGGAGCATTAAGCACGTATCTTCTTGTTAGAACTCTTTACCAGATTGATGTTATTTTTCTGATGTAATTATTTTTGTGTTTAAATTTAGTATGTGGGTGCCCTTTGCTGGACAGGTTACAAATATAAACTAACAAATACAGATATATGCTGGAGGTTACTGATAGAAACTTAACTCTAAAAATAACAAAGGACCACGACTGGGGCTGCTGTGGTGAAACTGAACCCTTGAACCTCCTGGTCGCACGGGGCTGAGTTTGGAGAGGGGTTTTGGGTAACTCTTTCTGACGTCCTTGTTCTGTTTCCAGTGATCAGAGGCTCCATTCAAGATGTAACGAACGAGGCGGAAGAGCAAGAATCCGTAATTCACGTCGGTGTCAACAAACTGTACAGGCAGAAGAGCAAAGTCTTTCAGCTCACGGGGGAGAGCGGGAACTGGCGAGGACAGATAAAGACCCTGCTGGAGTGTGGGGTGAAGCCAGGAGACGGAGACTTCCTTTTCACGGGACGCATGCACTTTGGGGAGGCCAGGTTAGGCTGTGCCCCTCGTTTTAAAGACTTCCAAAGGATGTACAAAGAGGCAAAAGACAAAGGGCTAAACCCATGTGAAATTGGCCCCGATTGAAACCCCCTGTTTGGCTGAAGATCGCTTTTAGCGTTTGGCCAGGAATATTTCCTGGCCGCGGTGAAAACTCTGAACGAAACCGGTAACTGAGAGCGTGGACAGATCTGGAGCGCAGGCTGAGGCCCCGCAGGACACGTCTGCTGTCAGACTAATGGAAGCAACAGAGGTACGAGCTCAGAAGGCTGCCAAGCAAGCAAGGCTGGATTTTTAACCAATCTTGTCCTTACGAATTAAGTTATTATATTTTTCTAGCGACTTCCTTAGGAAAACAAACAAAGAAAACTCCCATGTCTTAATAAAAAACCCAAATGAAAGCCAAGATGCCTTTGTATCTTTTTAATACTAATTTTTAAAAATGTCTTAAGCTGATGTAGCATTTGGTATGACGTATTCTGTATAAATGGCCGAGAATGTGATAGAGCACAGTAAAACATCTTAACATTGATGCTTTGTAAAAAGCTTGGTGTACAATTCAAAGTTGTTTCTTATGACAGAAATTTATGGAGCCAAACTCTTCTGTGTGTGTTCTCTTTTTTTATTTGAAAGAATGTACAATCGCTGCCTGCAATTTTTTGTCCAGGCTGGCAAATTCTTTCCATTCCAGAGAAATAAAGGTCCCTGGATTTGACACATGCTGTTCAAAATCTGTATTTTTTTCTTCTCCGTAAGGCCGATCTCGGCTAGTCCAGATGTGCTCATAGATCAGTTCTGGGCTGCTCACTTATTTTGTGGCTTCTCTGAGCAGAAACAGAGTTCCTGTGAGGCATTGGGAACCGCAGTGTTTTTCAAAGGGGAAGCGGGAGCTATTTTTGGAGATTTTTAGACACGTGTCCGGGCAAGGCTCTAAGTGTTCTTCTCTCTGATGCCTATGGGGTTATTTTGGGAATGGCTCCGAAGAGCAGGCTGCCCCTTCGTGTTTAGCTTGAAGCTTTTAGTTGTGTTGGCTGGTAGCTCGGCGCGAGTCCCGGGGGCCAGGCCCAGGCCATCTTGTGAAAAATAAGCGCTTTAAGAAGGGCGGGCCGCTTCTGCAGGCAGTGTCCCACGGGAGGTACAAGAGCTCTCTGCCCTTGTTCCGTCCCGTCGTTCCCCATAACCTGCCACGTGTCACTTTAATGGTACCCTCGCAAGGATTTTTAACCTCTTGCCCATGTTCACTCTTCAGCGCTTTCTGCTGCCCCAACTTTTATTTTAGGCCATCGGGTTCTTTAAATAAAAAGTTTCCATTAACGACTCTTTTTGCCTCATCCCTCCTATCTCCTTCATGTGATTGTTGTTTCTGAGGCTTGGGGAGGGTGTCTGGAGCGACTCGGAGGACGGTCTTCTCGGGTGGATGCAGGAAGGTCTAAGACGGATGGGACAGAGATGTCCCATGAGACTTATCAGGGGTAAAAAACCAGGGTTGTACCGAAGCATTGGCCTGAGGTGGGACCGAAATCCCTCTGAAGCTATTTCTGTAGACTTCTCCCAGCAAGATGTATTCTGTGGGCCCATTGGGGAAGAGGACTTCTCTTGTCTGTGCTAAGATGATCCGAAGAGGCTCCAGGAGACTGTGACTACTTCTGCAAAGACATCTAAACCCCATTTAGCACCCGTCTATCTGCTGCTTTGACCCCGGCTGCCTTCCAGCCTCCTGTAAGCAAAGCACCAAACCCAGCATCCGATTCTGTGTGGTTCAGGGTTCCCCCCGTCCTACTTTGAGTTTCAACAGAAACGGGCCACGACCGGTGGAGGGGGGGAAATGGTTCATTCTTCATCTTCAGCCTTCCCAAACCTCTCTCCTGCGAAATTGCTTCCACTTCCAGGGATCTCAACCCTGCCTTTTGTAGGCTTTCAAAAATGAGTCTGTGATTTAGCCCTGAGATAACTCCTGAGTACATCTAATGGGGCGTTCCAGAAGCCCTGTACCTCTCCTCTCTTGTGTTTCGTGAGCTTTTTCCAGCGCAGAGTGGCTGCTGGCAGGATGAGGAGGGGAGAACAACATGTTCCTGGAATTGTCTCCAACCTGCCCACTCTCCTCTTCCTATGTGAGGCTGCGGGACGAGGGGAAGAGGCTGAATTAAATCTTCAGCCAGTATTTGTGAGGACAGTGCTAACAAAATAGAAACAGTCAGGGAGGCTTTGGCCCTGGAGCTCCAGCTTTGGCTGCAGTTTGATTTTTATGGCAGTTTAAATTGTTTGTAGACTTTTTTTTTTTTTGAATACCCTTTGAACCACGCTTGGAGCCAAGCACTGAACTGGTGCCTTTCTTTACTCCGGTGTCTTGTTTTCCTGCCCAAGGAGGAGCAGGGCTGTGCCTTCCCCCGCCTCCACTGGTATTGGCCCTGCTCCCTGCTGAATTGCTCTCCTCTGGGAAGCTGCCTGTGTCCTGGGAGCTCCCTGGAAATCCTTGGCAGGAGAGGAAATACTGCCCTGCTGATTTTTGCTCTGCCTCAGCTCCGCAACAAACTGCTGAGATGCAGCGTTGGAGTGCTCTGTAGCTGCTACGTGTCCATCACACTGATGGCGCTTGCACGCCGACAATTACAGAGCGTTGGAGGGAGTGGCTGGATGAGCAATAACTCTGCTCAGAACCCAGTTCTTTAATCAAAGTGGCATTAAGATCTTGCTCGGCAACATTTTCTTCCCCCCCCCAAGCCCTTGTCCCTGTCTTGAGCCTTGCTCGCTGCAGCACCGCAGGTTGGCTGATGTGCATCATCCCCAGCAAGTCACCGGTAATTGCAGGACTCGCTCCTGGCCGCGGGGCCTGGTGCCACGTCTCTCAATAGCTAGGTGTGTGTGCACTTTTTACAGCAGGAGGTTAATGGAGAGATTCCACCCACTGCCCTCAAATCCAGTTCCCAAATGCTCACCCTGAAGTCTTCGAAACATGATTACAGCTTGGCCTATCTGTCAGCAGAGTCGGGGACAGAAAGGATGGATTAAAAATTACTGTCTTTGCTCACATGTGCTGACTCAACTCTATAATGAGTAGCAAATGATATATTGATGCGGCATTATGTGAGGACATGCTTGTTGCCACCTTGGCTGAAGGTGACCCAGGATAGAGGTGGAGTAGGTGCTTGCAAAGCATTGCTTTTCTTGCAGCTCTCTGAAGATGAAGGGCTTCCTCTTGATACCTAATTAACATAATTGAATTCCTCTTAAAAGCAACAGACTGACTTATCTGTTCCTAAGAAAGCAGAACTAATGAACTTGAATCGCCTTCGTTAGAGCCCTCTTCAGTTGGGCAACACTACCCATAAATAGGCACAAGGCATCTGCTGTGTTCTTGCATCTGAACTCTGGCAAGCGTGTAGTTTGGGTTGTTGGTGAAAACACTTTCCATGGTAACCTTCTACTTCTCTGATTTTTCCATAAAGCATCAGTAACGAGCCCACTGGTGAACTAAGTCACCTCCTAGGCAAGAGCCGTGCAGAGCTTACTGCGGTGACGAATAGGTAGGTTGAGAAACTCGTGTGGGTGTCTACACGGGTCTGTTTGAGGTCTATCAGATGCTGCCTGCCTGGGGGAAAGTTTGCCCTCTTTCATCCTGTGGAGAGACAGGATCATCGCTTCTCCAAACACCATGACCTCAGCACCCAGCGTGGAGGGGAGCGAGATCGCCGTGCTTGGTTTGCCTACAGCCAGACCAGAGGATCATGATTAAAACACCTGTTTGGTTCCCGTTCAGGACGAACAGGCCATTTTTCTCCAAGCTTTGCCTCTTGCATGTGAGCCACGGCCACGCTGCAGGGAGGTGTGTGCCCCACAGCCCGTCCCACCGGGTGATGTCCCATCCCACCCTCAGGCCAACTGGCTAGTAAAATCAGAGACATTTGTAGGCAGCTTTTCATCAAGCTCTTTTCTGTTGCTGCCACCTTCTCCCAGCTCTGCTGTCCCACTCCTGCTGGTGATCCCAGTTTCCGTGCTGGGAAGCATCAGATGTTGCTTTAGCACCAGCCCGCTGCTGCTCTCTTCTCCTGGCAAGGGAGAAGCACCTTATCATCGGCATGGCTCAGCCTGTGCTCTGCAGGGGAGGGAACTGCCCTCATTGATCTACTGTGTCGGGGCACATGATGGTCTGGTCCTCTGTGCAACAGCTTCTCCCTACTCTAAGGACACATACGGGCTGCGGGGGGGGACACTGTGGCCACACTCAAGCAAAACAGTAGCCAAGCTGTTGGCACCTTGAACACCAGCATGTCTTCTTCACTACAGAGAGAGACCTGCTTGGTCCTGTGCTGCTTGAAATGAGAGGGGGAAAGATGTGATTTGAAGTGAGTCACCCTGGCAGAAGGCAGGAGAGGTGATCTGGCTCTTGCATCAAGCTCCTCTGAGCGGCCAGGAGCGTTCACCGGCTGGGGAGGAGGCTGTGCACCCAAGGACGTGCCGTGGTGCAATGCTGCAGGTGTTTCCTGCATACCTCGCCTTTGAAGTGTGACGGGACTTGTATGAGCTCCGAGCCTGACCAGCTGACGTGGTGCAACACCTCCGAGGGAGATAGGAGCTCTCCTTCTGCTCGTCACGAACTTAATTAGATGATACTTATTTCTGGAACTGGAAAAGTCTCTTAGTGATGCTTGTCAGAGGTGCTGGTTGAATGGTAAATAAGTTTAGCAATATTGGGACCAGCTGTTCCAGAAGATATCAAATTGAAAACCAAATTGGTTGTCAAGTAAAACAGAAAAATATCAGGAGGGAGACATGTGCAAGTCTCTGAGAGGGGTTAGAAGCAATACAGAGCCAAAACAATGTGCAGAAATGTCTTGACAGCAGCAAGATTCAGGCCTGGAGGAGTGGAGCTGCTGGTGTGAGGGAGGAGAAATCAAGTTTCTCCTTTCCAGCTTGACAGAAGCGATTCCCCTTTCTGCTGCAGGGGCCAGCCCTCTCTTTTTTCGGCTGACTTTGATCCTCCTTTCAGTGATGCCTTACTCCGGCTGGCTGTGGGTGGGCAGGAACGTGGTGTGACGGTCTGGGTGCTGGAGCAAAGAAGGCGTCTTCTCCAGACAATCTTTTCTCCACCACCCGTCTTTGTCTCAGAGCTTCACTGAGAGTCATTCAGGGACAGACCCTACAAGTAACTGTGAGCCCTCTCCCCCTCCTTGTCCTCCTCCTCATCCTCCTCCTTGTCCTCCTCATCCTCCTTCTCCTCCTCTTCCTCTTCCTCCCATACCAATAGCAAGATGCATAGTGGCAGTGAAAACAAAACAACCCTGTGAAGTTCATTTTGGGGTGTCACGTCCACCTATCTCAGCATCACCCAAATGCCTTGATCTTGCCCCAAGCAGCATTTGGGAATCTCTGGCCAAGACTGGGCAGAAAATATGGAACAGGGCTACATATAACTGCTCCCTTGTGTCCCTCCTCGGCGGTTCTCCCGGGCTGCGAGCCAGAGCTGAGCGTGGGTGGCAGGGATGCCCATGGCAGGCTGGGAGCACACCAGCCACTGGCATGTACTGGCACCAGTACGTGCTCGTTGCTGCAGCCAGCACCTGACTGCTGGCTCACGTTGCGATGGGGCAGCGCGTTGTGTAGCTGGGCTGAGGCCGAGCAGCAGTTTCTGAGGGAAGACACTCCTCTTGGCCCTCTGGGGTGGGAGCATCCACGGAGGTATCCAGCTAGATCTAAGTGGGAGCAGGGGGGAGAGGG